TCTCGTTGCAAGAGAAGACTGGGCCGCGGCTAAATATCGGGATATTCCTGTAGATGTGATCTCCATGGTATAAGTAAGGCCTTCGATAAGGTCTCCCATTCTAGTCTTAAATTCAGACAGAACGTTTTGGAATCCTTTATACAGTCGTAGATTGGACAAGTAGCTTTCTCCATGACAGGAGAGAAAGGGTGAGGGTTAATGGAGCTCTCTCAACGTGGTTACCTGCAAAAAGTGGGGTTCCTCTAGGTACAATCCTCGGTTCTCTTCCCTTTTTACTTTATGTAAATGAATTGCCACCTTTAGCAAAATCATCCGTTCTGCTCTTCGCTTTGGAGACCCATACATATTATGTCGGATAGAATAGTATCACAGAAGGACACTCGAAGAAAGTCCAAAAACCGAGATCAAATCTTTTACGTCTGCAGTTTCGCTTCTCGCATCAAGTAGTGAATTACTGACATTCTCTACCGTAACACGTAATATCAGCACCTTCTGTTGATATATTCAAAACGAGATTGGACCTCCACAGTGTTACAAACTGCAAGGATTAATATAAGTCGATAGACCACCTATACTTGTTACTGAAGACGGAGTACATACATACATGGAGGGGGGAAGATAAACTATCGTATGATATTTAAGCGATCAACATTTTAGCTAGAGTCTGTCATATGATCTAGTGATCATTAAGATACAAAGAAATAGACAGATTGTTCTTGTTTTAATAATATTTTCTGTCAACTAAGTTAATAAAAGGCCTTATCGAGAATTGAACATAATAGAAATTGATTACAGAATAGTTGTGGTAATAAAAATTTAATGTCAAAAAAATACAGTAAATTCAACTACATTCATAAAAGTGAAACTAGTCAAAAATGGATGTAACCTGTTTATAGACGCCATGTAAGTCCAGCTTTAAATAAAGTTCTACAATTTCAGTTATATTGAAATAAATATTCGGTTGAGAAAATGGACGAAGGATACATGTGTAAGGATGGTAGATCAACATTTGTGTAATTACGTTAATGAAAATCAATTGATGAATAATTAAGATTAAAATATGTAGTGGATGATATTCAGTTGGCTACTGTGAAATTATCACACAGACTAGCAAATTAGGTAAGGTAAATTGAACTTAACATTGTTGAACTCTATAAACTGGAGATCCAATTAGTTAGGTATATGGAAAGCAAACTTATTACAAGAGGTGGTTATTGTTGGAATATTTAGGCTACGCGTTAATGACATCTAAATATCTCAAAAAGTCATTTTTGTTTGTTTTAACACACTATTACGTCTATAATTCGCACAACCTACTCAACCGCATTTATGAAAAGTTTATGACCTTTCACTGTACAACTTACAATAAAGTACAATCAGAGACATCGTGATGGCTGAAATATGCATTGAAGTTAGTGAACATTAATCATATTTCGATTCTTAACATGTCAACTAGCGTAAACAATGACAGCTGGATGGCCAACTGCCTATGTTTCTATCTGTCTCGAAGTGAAAAGTACACTGTGTTTGGAGGAAGGTGTTCGACATCTGTACCGTCTCATGGTGTGCCACAAGGAGCTGTTTCTCCCCTCTTCTCTTTTTTGCGTGATCTGCTATCATCCGTAGAAAAATTTTTCGCTAAATATTTGGACGATCTCGCTGTAAGTATACCGCTTTCTACTTCTTTACATCCCCTTGAAATGGATGAATCCTTATCTCGTATCGTGGTCTGTTTTTAATGGTCTCATACTTAATCCGTTTAAATGTTAAACTGTCAACTTCAGTCTGAGACACTGACAGCCCTTAGACACACTGTTGTACCATTGGAGATTGATAAACACACTGTCAAAAGTTATTTTTCTTGGTGCGACCTTTCCTCTTGGTCACCTCATGTTTCATTGTTATCGAAGAAAGTTTCCTGTCCGATTTATTACATAAAGAGGCTACATGCCTTTGGGACTACTTGACATTTACTCCTAAATTCGTCGATTCTGCATGTTACTTATTATTCTTTACTGTTCTCCATTATTCTTTCCCAGACTTTTTAGAAAATAATTTTCTGTATTGTGGGGTGCTGAAGGCAGTTAGCAGCATGTATAGTGAGTCTTTTGAGATCATTATTAATATAGTTGTGGATAGACATATATAAGGTCTTGCAAATTCCTGGCACGTGTTATCTTATCAGATACTAACCATCCCCTTCATTTACATATTTCACCTTGTATATCTTCTGGTAGAACGAGACTTCAACACATCCGAGTCCATGCGCCCAAGCAAAAGTATATAAACCCTACAGTACCTTATCTAGCAAATATACTATGTGACGAATAGATTGTTAGACTTAACCTAGTCAATAACCTGTATTCTTAAACATGTTTCTAATTGAAAAAGTCGTAGAGATTCAAATCTCCTTAAAAACATTGCGTTTAATTTCAGGTATTTCATCTGATTAATTTATGCATGAATATGCCGTTATCAGTTTCCTCCACTTTTTTGCAAAAGAAATACCTTGTGCTGAGAATCCTATGTTGTATCATAAATAAAATATTAAGTAGAGCCATTAATGATAGTAAACTAGTTAATATGTCAGAGTCAATACAACTCGAATAAAAATCAACTGTTTGTGGCCGGTCGAACACAACCATTTTGTGTTACTTGTTGAGACAGTACCGCCGGAGACGGATATTCATGGGACACGGCGAAGTGTGTATTTTTCCAATCAACCTTTTCTAATCCAACCCTACCTTGGCGGGAAGGCCTTGAGGAACGATTGTCCCAGCCAGTATAGCTCGATTGGTTCATCGCGATAGACAAGCAAAGCCACTAAGTCAAGGTGGCAGCAACAGTCGGAAACAGTATTATTAGCGTCATAGTTACAATTAGGAAGGTAATCAAAATGACAAGTTAAAAAACTTAACGTACACAATTCTGAATCAGTTAGTGTTACAAATCCATTCTCAATTTGAATTCTACGAAACGCTGAACATTTAGTCGGTCTAGATGTTTTATTCTATATAATCACTGCTTTCTTTATTAATGAATTCCATCTTTTTTGACGTCCTCTAGATTTTCTTGAATTCAAATACACTCAAATCAGTATACGATTATGTAACTCAGACTGTTGTTGTAAAGAATAATCAATAGCTTTGTTGTTCGGAAAATATTTGATTGCTTAAATTGGAACTGTGACACTTTAATATGCCAACTTCATTGTGTTTAGTCAAAATGTTTAAACTGCCAGTGATTATTCTCTGTTCCGTTGAAAGTGTTTCTCTTAATTGTTATCGATAACATTTCATTATCAAATAAATGCCACCTTTTAGTTGATACTATTTAAATGTGAGATTTTATTAGTTTTTTTGTAAATAAAGCGTATTTCTTCGATAAAGAATTTGCAACTATTCAACCCGTCTTCAAAATAACCAATAGGTTTTCTTGTTTAAATCAATTACTGCATTGATAATACAAAACATTTCAAATTGTGAGCAACACAATACAATCATTATAATGTATTTCTTTATAAAATATAATGACTTATTATATGAACTGTTTCAAAAACAAAATTTTTAAGCATTCATCAATTATCCATACAGTTTAAAGTCTGTACAGCTTTATTGGGAGAATATATGATTTGTTTAGGGTATGGTTCAGTGATATGCCGTGTTCAAAGTATTTTCTAACGAACAAGCCGCTTGTTTAGTCAGTTAGTAAACATTTTTTATCGTTGGAAGTTATTCATCTGAATTTGAAGCACTAAAGTGGATAGTTTTATAGGTGAAAAAATTAGATATCAACATCCTAGGCTTTTTGTTTGATATCGTATAAATCCATCTGCCCTAGACTTTGACTTATACTGTTACGCAGTCCGAGTAAGTTACTCTGCTGTTGGGCCAATCAAAAATAACCACACACTCATTTCTCGATTGTAACCTACCCCTCCCCAACATAACAGAAAAATATTTTGATTGAATAGTAACCACTAGTTCATATGTACGAATCAAGTCATATACATTGGAAGATCAGAGAGAAACGTGCCTATTACGACACCTGAAGACACTTCAAAAATGGTTGAATGCGACTGACCTTTTACAACTGATTATGAGTTATATCACTCGAGATCCACGACTAGTGTGCGAACCATAAAGAAGTATGTGATTCCCAAGACGACCAATATAAGCAGTTAATAATATAATGAATCGATATCATTGCTTGGTTTGACGTTCCTTAGTTTTCTTTCAACCAACTTAGACGCTAGTCACCACTGAGAGTCAGGATGGATGGTGGCTGGAAAAGTTAACTAATATCGTCCGAAGAATACAACAGATGTGCAACCCACATTTTACCCAAAACGTGGTACGTAAATTTGAGCAGATAAACACATGTGTATCTAGAAAGGTTTGGTTTTCTATAATAAATACAGGTAAACACTAATGTGTGAATCAATTTCGGGAAGTGAGTTACAATTCAGTTCTGAAAATTCTCTTTTCATTTAAGATAAATTCATCATTTATCTCCTATACCATGATTTAATGTGTTTTTCAGATTTAATTTTCTTTTGCAGTTGTAATATAGAATACATCAGCGCCTCTGCAGATGGAGGACAACCTAACATTAAAAAGAAATAAGAATATTATTGTTACTTTCAAGTAAAAGAATGAGCCCAATTTGACACAATAGTTTAACATTAGGCTAACTATTTAGTGCTTAAATTAGCTAGACATATAGTAGAACTTAACCATGACTAAATAATTTGAACTTACAATTTTAACGTGTTTGATCTCATTGAAAAAGTGGCGAGACTATAATTTGTGAACGAACCAATCAGGTAGAAGATAACAGGTCTCGGATTTTGGCACGAAATTCACCTAAACAGTTTTGGCATTATGGCTAACGTCAATCCGTGATGAAAACCTTGAATCTAATCCCTAAAACTAACCATAAACTGTAAATAATAATTCTCATTCCTCACACTGGTTTATAACCTTCATTTGATCCTAGTTATTAAGTGAACACTCTCAAGGTCACTTCAGCGTCGCTTAAAGGTCGTCCATAAATTATAGTCTCACCGAAAAAGTCTGCATTAAGTTAACATGGGACCTTTAAATCAGTTAGTCATGAAAATCATATAACCTAGCACAAAGGAACGAAGCCTCAAGTTGTTATATTTCTTATTGGTACAATGAATCAGAGAATCAACAAAAAACTAATGTTATTGAAAATATTGGATGGCTTTGAACAGTACGGCATCTGAATACGACTTTAGTCGGAAACCATAGGTTGTTTTCTCTAAACCTTTTAATCTATATTGATGATGGCTAAGCTTGAATCCACAGAATGAGCGTGTAAAACATCTCAAACTATGATTAAGTCAGTGTTATTTACTCAATTAAATGGTTGTCACCCAAAGAAATTAGTCATATATAACTGATTATTGTTAAAGTAACTAAACATGATACATTCCCATTCGCTTAACAAAAGAAAGGATACGGCGCGCAGCAGCTAACCCTATATTTACGCATGTGAAGTGGTATCTGATGGTTTAAGATATGTGTAGATTGTTGGTAGTTGTCACGACAGTTTTGCACGTGTATAGTCCAACCACCACGTGAATAATGCTGAAGCTACTCGCAGGCTACTAGATGGAGATGATGCATGTCTGATAAGGATGTGAACGTTCACCGACTAGTGACTGAGATATGCTCTATATATTCCACACTACTCCCCAACTGTTAAATAAAATAAGTAGCCAGGTAGTATTTTTAGTCTTCGTAGAAGTATCTCTCGTAGTCGAGTACACGGGCAAGTAATCAATTCAATAACTGTCTGTGTTTTCCCTTCTGAGTATGATTTATTAAATGGAATTAGGTTAGATCCTCTAGTTTGTGGCTAGCAAGTTAAATTCAAAAAACTGGTAGGTCCAACTGCGAACAAAATGAACAATCTAACAAAAACATACCTGGGACATATATATCAACCGGAATAATTCGATCACAGCCACGTACAACACTATATGAATAATGATAGTAACCACCACCATTTGCACAAGAGCCCATTGAAATAACCCACTTCGGTTGAGTCATTTGTGAGTAAATTCTGTGAAGAGCCGGGCCATCTTGTTCGTAACAGTTCCAGAAACGATTAAAAGGTCAGCTTGACGTGGGCTAGCCCGAAAAACAACCCCATAACGATCCATGTCATAACGAGGCCCAGCGATGTGCATCATTTCAACAGCGCAGCATGCAAGACCAAAAGTAAGCGGATATATTGAGTTCTACGGAGTGAAATAATAAAAATTGACCCCACTTTTCTAGCCCAGTCTGCTAAATCATCAAGCCGGGTGATAACATAGTCTATTTTCCCTTGTGGTTTTGGAAAAGGACTGTACGGTTTGTACGGGATGGACTCATCAGAACTATCAACTTTTGAAGGTTGACTAAAGTTATATTAACACAATTTTATCGCTAACCTTGGCTCTGACGATGAAAGTCGCGAGTATGATGAATAAATCAGCCTATGAAGTCCTTTTTTGCTACTCAAGGACAACATACTAAAGTAGCGATGAGATCGAAAGTAGCGGTCTGAACATTGAACCTGATATAAATCGTTAATATTCAGATTCAAATTTGTGTAGTAAGGACAGAAGACCTATGGCATATGCTATTTCTTTTCTAGTATGCTTCTGTGAGTGTCATTCTTCTCTTGAAAGAGTCAATTGAAGGTGAGGACACCACTGCTTCGAGCATCAGGTTCCAGATATTGATGACTCGGTGTGAAAACCTGTATGTCACGTGTATATTGTCTATTGTTGGCTTTTCTACGCGCTTGTTATGTCTTCTGAGATATCCTGATCTAGTGGGAAGAAAAAGATTACATATTAGGTCTAGAATCACCTCTTAGTATTCCATACATCAACATCTGATCATCTCTTACTTTACGATACGACAGATTATAAAGGTCTGGCTTTTCCAACTGCCTTTTGGACGGTGAACCTTGGAATTCTATAATTGCACTGGTAACTTCCCTCTGTACGTTATCCAGGATACCTGAGCCACTTTTTAAACAGGGGCTTGCAGCCTGAGAGCAGTTCTGAGGCTTAGTTCTCACTAAGGTTGTGCATACTTCAGTGGACATGGTAGTATCTAACTTGGTGGATGTCCGTCCCGGAGGGTTCGAGGCCTCTTAGCTGCGACCTTCCGGCAATGGGCCGTGGTCTTAAGACCATAAATCACTGTCACTCCTAGATCCTTATGGGACGAAACCACAGGTACAGGCACTCTCCCCATGCTATACCTACTGACCTTTGTATCCAGAAAGTGCATGTAGACACACTTTGTCGCAGTGATAGACATTAGCCACTCCTTAGACCAGCTAATCACAATATTTAAATCTGTCTGAAGTGCGCATGCATCTGCATCTCTTGTTATTACTCGCCAGATTTTTACATCGTCTGCGTATAATAGCATTGGGACTGTACTAGGGAGATCATTTATATACAGTATAAAAAGTAAGGTACCTAGGACAGAGCCATGCTGTTCGCTGTTTAACAGGTCGTTGGTTTCCATAAATGTCATTATGGTCTTTTTGACTACTATTTCCACTATTTTAACTACGACATTGGTGAGCCTGACAGGTTTGTAATTTGGTGGAAGTTGTCTTGATCCTGTTTTATGTATGGGAGTGACGATTGCATCCTTCCAGTCCATAGGTAACACACCTTGGCCAAGTGACATATTGAATGTCACAGTCAGTGGGGACACGATATATTGTGTAATATGTCTCAAGATTTTGGGGTGTAGTTCATCTGGTCCTGTTGACTTTTCCATGACCAAGGTGCTAAGAGCCCTAAGCACATTGTCTTGATCAAAGTCCACGGTGAGTAAGTGGTTTGTTGACTCTTTATTTTGGTCTAATTCTTTGTCTAGAGGAGGTTTCTGAGTAAAAAATGCCTCAAAATAGTTAGCCATGGTCTATGCTTTTTCCTGATCTCCATTTAGAATTCACTCTTCTTTAATTGGGTTGGTAGTCCAATGATGCATCCTTGTTCCGTAGTTTATGTACGAGAATATTCTCTTAGGCTGCTTGATTGCAGATTGTGCCAGCTGCGTTTCATATTTTCTCTGAGCTTCCCGGATTTTAATTACGCACTTGGTTCTTACCGATCTGTAGCGTTCCATCGTACTTGCTGTACAAAGGCTGATGGAAACATCCCAACATTTCTTCTTTTGTCTTAGTAAACGTCGTATATCCCGGCCTATCCAGGAATGGCCGTGCCTCCTCTTCTTTGGAACTATGCAGAGTATATATGGTTTAGTTACGTGATTGTATAACTGCCTGAAAAGAGTGCATGCCTCTCGTACTGATGCCCTTGAGTCAATTTCCCAGTTTTCAGCCGGTGCTGCGGAGTTGACTGCCTCCATGTCTGCCCTCCATATATTAAGACGGTTCGGCGCAACTTTTTGATAAGCAATCTCAGCCATGAATTTGAATAAAATGACTTCGTGATCTCTTTTACCCAGTGGTGGGAGAAAAGTGATTGGACCATCGTCATCACCGTGTGTGAAGCCTAAGTCCAAGGGAGACGAGGAACTTCTTAGCTCATATCTGGTGGGACCTCCAACGTGCTGTAATAAAGCTAGTGCAGTTGGGGTTTTGTACAGTTCGCAATGAAATGACGTTTTCGATTATCACACTTCTAAGTTAACCCAGTTTATATACGGTGCATCAAAGTCTCCTGCTTTAAGGTTTTTACTCATATTACACCACAACTTAGGTTTGCTTAGGAGGAAATTATCGACTACACATTCTGGACTGCGATATACTACAGCTGATTCAATATTTTACAACTTGAAAATTCTTAAGTAGGAAGTTTCTTTCACCATTTAGGAGATGCTCATTAATTTCTACTTCTGCAGCTCGTCTCCTTATATGGTCAACCAGGCTGTGATCCTCATGGACGTACATTCCGGACCCAATTAGTTTGCATGGGCTTCCCACTATGAGGTTTCTTTCTTCAACTGTAACAAAAGTGACCTTCAATAGACGGCTTTTCTGAGTACTTTCAGGATCCACATTTTGTCCTATTGTAAGAAGCTTGCAGATGCCTGCTTATTAAGAACTTGATGTGACTGAAGTCGTGCTCAAATATAGAGTTTGGTTTCTTTTCTTAAGATACTCTTTACCTATAAAAATGACTGACACCTCAACAAGGTCCGAATTAACACGTGAAATTTTAGTTCCTGAAATCGTGTCTTCCTTGTAATCCGATTGCAATTTAGCGTCCTTATGTGTGACTGTGAGCCACTCATTTACCTTATTTTGTCTCTTGATTACATCCTCTACACCGCTCAAACTTGGCTCCTCCACAGCTTGTTTTGCGTTGATATGTGAATCCGGAACTGAAAACCTATATTCACATACCTTAGTACTGTCTATGAGCAGTTTCTTTTTAGCACGCCTTTTCTTTTTCCTTGTGACAATCCTTACATCCGTATGCTGAAGATGACTTGATGGTAAAGATGCCACAATATTCGGAGTTTAAAGACGCTTTATCTGTAACACCTTCACAATCAAAGTACGCTAACTCAGTCGAATCAGAAGTCAGAAATGAAGAAGTTCGGAGATATATTTGATAGGATGTCTGTACAACGAGAAGTGATCAATCTATGTTGGCTAGCTATTGTAAGAGATGTGAAGAACGAAGTATTCACTCGCACCTGTTTTGAAGACACGACTTTCTACGGCTTTCTTCCAATCTTTTAGTAGTCTACTTTTGATTACAGATCGATTAAAACACATACTTGAGGGATTTGCCACAAAACTCGTTAAATCCTTTAGTAAGCTATGATGAATATCATCAGGTCTCATAGGTTTCCCTATATCAGACTCACTCAACAAATCAATCACATCGAGTTCTTTAGTGGTTACGGTATCCAAAGTGTTTGTGAACCAAAGGGAGGTTGCCTCCAAAGCATGTATAACGCCAAAGAAATTTGAGAATACCTTGGCTTTACCGTGATCGTTTCCCAATAGCGATATATTACTACTTTCTCCCAATAATTCCGAAATGCCACCTCTTCACTTAGGTATTTGATTTTTACACTAATATGTAGACTATGACAGGTTTTTGTTCATACAATCTTCTGGACTTGAGGAGAGTCGTTCCACAAATGTTTCTGTTTTCCCAATATTTAGATTTCATATAATCAACATAAAGTAATCGATAATGATATTAGAAGACGAAGATTATCAGAACTATGTGATTATTAGCGCAATACATTCGAACAATCTGGTCACACATATACTTGTTAAGAGCATTTATATATAAAAATAAAAGGTCAACTAGACAGGAAACGGGGTAGAGGAGATAAGGATAATGATAGAGTAATAAAATAATAATATGTGAACACAAGCGAAACCTAATCACTCTGATAATAAGTCATATTACCAGGGTAGGTTTAAGGTAAGAACAAACTGTTTGTTCTTCGTCTTTAATATCATTATCGAAATAAAGTAATCGGCTTTATAAGTCTTTTAGAGGCCTGAATCAGTTTGCTTTCAAGAACCTCTGGCTACCTAATGTATAAACCTTCAGTAATGTGGTCACAGAGATACCTTGAACATTTAGATAGATAAGAAAATTCTCCGTCAATTAGAAGTCACGCTCATAGAGATTTCTGGGCTGTGAGCTTTAGCTCTTCTTGAGTCTATAGAAGAGGACTGTCCTGTTACGATGATCAGACTAGGATTTCTCACTCGCAGTTCGGAGGACCGACTTTCCTTTAACGACATCAAACGTTCCTTATGTTTGGTTTGCACCCATTCAATAACTTTCTCAAGATCAACAGCCATAGCCGAGTTATACACATTTTTGATTTTAATGCCAGAGACTGATATCACATTACGATTAGGTTTTCTAGGTATCGCGAACGAAGTCTTCATGTCCTTCTAGAGAACTCGTAATCTGGTGTAGATGAGTGACAGAGCCCCCTCAGCTAAGGTGGGTCTGGTAATACTGATAAGGTCAGCATCAATGTCAAAGAACTGCAGAACTTTTTATTTTGAGGATTTATTTGCCGCGACA